TTGCTCAGAAACACCAAAGTTCACAAAACATCATCGTCGTGAAACGTCACCGCCATGGTGAAGTCTCCACACCGTACGAACACCGGCTTACTTGGAGGGTCGGGGGACTTCGTAAATGGTGATTTTAGGGACTTATAAGTACCATAAGTCCAATTAGGGTTCCCTTTAGGGCGCTAAAAAGTCTACATACTAATTACTTACTAAGTCCCCCGACCCCCCGAGTACAAACCACCAGAACCCAAAAGCCCCGGGCGAAAAGCTGAACACAAACAGAAAACACCTCATGCCCAGCAAAAAGGCTCCAAAGACCCACTACCTAAAGAACCGAATACAGGGGCCTTAATAATTAGAATAGGTTTGGGAGCTTTATTACACATAGCTATAATAAGGAACCCCACAATAGTATAGGCAATTACTAAGGCCCCCCTACTGTACAAGCCTAAGCAAGCACCGGCGGTGCCTGGAGGATTCGACAATTCGGAGGGTTTTGGGTTTGACTGAACCCTTCAAGCCTACCTTTCCAGGACTCCTTCAAAGTGAGTTCTTTCATGACTCCTTAGAAACGTAGGTTGTTTGGGCCTAGGGTAGGGTATACCTTGACCCCGAATAACCTACCTTTTGAAGGACCTGTATCAGGAAATCCTGATGAGGAACCCTAGAAAGGCAGGTTCTCTAGGGGTTAAGGTAAGGTATACCCTGAACCCTAAAAAACCCTAAACCCTAAAGCCTAAAAATCCTGAACCGTAAACCCTAAACCCAGGATTTAGGGCCCCTAGGGCTTCGGTTTTGTGATTTTGGAACCCTGGAGCAGCGGATGGGGGTGTTCGGGCTTGGAGGGCTTCTAGGGTTTTGATGGGTGTTTAGGGCTTTAGGGGTTTAGGGGTTTAGGGTTGAGGGTGTTGGGGGGTTTTGGGGTTTATGGGCTCAGGGCTGTTGGGGTTTAGGATGAAGGGCTTCTGGGCTCGGGTTTTGGGACTTAGATTCTCGTGGTTTCGAGCACTTTGATGCACCGAAAAAATCAACGGACGTGGGAAACAGGTCATCGATAGAGCTTGTTCAAGCAGGGCTCGGCATTGCAGGCGGCGCGGGAGTACAGGGACGTTAAAGTTGGGTTCAGGAGCTTGGGAGTTTGTGTTTGGGCAATGTCTAAGTTTGGGAAAATGGGTTTTTGCGTTGCTTCTGGAGTCTGCTATCAAGGCTTTCGCGATGGCAGGGGATGCACAAGCAGCTTCAAATGCAGCAAGCAATTCAATGGGAATTGCAAGCTCCCAAGACACATCTTCTACGGTGTAGGACTGAGGGAAATGAATCCTCGTTCAGTCCTACGGAGCGCCACGCCCCTGAATCAACGACCTTCCTCAGATAGGGCTTCTTAGGGTTTCGGGTTTGAAGGGGTGTGGGGTTTAGGGTTAAGAAACACTCATCCCGTACTTGCGCTCCTGGGAGGATACTGTGATCAGGTATCGGCCTTGCACGGATGTTTCCTTGACGAGGCCACTACCATCCGCCGCCCTCCAGGCGACACAGCGGCTTCTCGACACCTCCAGCGTCGTCGCAGCCGCTTTCCTGGGATCCTTGAGGCGTTAAGCATAAGGCAGACCCCCGCTCCAGTAAAAAACATTGAAGCCATGGTAAGTCCCTCAAGCCCTAAACACCAATAACCCTCAGCCCCACTAGTTGGAAGCCCATGAGACGCCTGAAACTTTAGCCGGAATCAAGCTATAATTCCCCTAAACCCTAAACCCTAAACCCTAAACCCTAAACCCTAAACCCTAATTCTTTGATTGCAATATCCTTGCGATGATTTCAGCAGGCACCTTGGGCCACAACCCTGGAACCTCTCAGTCGACGCAGACCCCGCCCTCCGTCATCGCCCCTAAGCCCTAAACCCCAGGCCCTTTGACTAAAACCCCAAAGCCCCAGACCCCGAAAACCTCTCAAAAAAACATTAAAAGCCTAAACCCTAAAGGCCCAAAAACTGGAAAACTCTCAACTCTACGGCCCTAAACTCGAAACCTCAAGAATTTTGGAGCCACCCCGGGCCATTGAAAGGGCACCTGTGGCATTCTGGGAATGTGCAGAATGGAGGCTGCTGACGCCAAGTCGGGTTGAAGGATTCCAAGCTTTGAGCAACATTCCTTTAGGGTTGTGGGCTTTAAGGTTTCAAGGCTTTCGAATTTTGGGCTGTAGGGGCTTGAGATGCCTTTCAGGTAAGGTTGTGGTTGTTCATAACACATGTATCTGCAGATGAACCACTACTTATAAGCAACATATAAGCCTAAAACACAAAGAACAACAGCAAAAAGCAAACCTCTCAGCGGCACTTGAAGGATGAGGAGACATAGTAAGCAGGTTCCCTTTTACGTAAAGAGCAGGATAACCTCATTGCGGGTTCTTCTACCCCTACGCATCACCTCTTTACTATTTTCCTGAGCCTCCAGATGAACCCCAGACCATGAAGCGAGCAACCCAGAGGCGAGATCTAGGTCGCATAGGGTAGGGTTCAGAGTCCTAATAGAAAGGGTTGGGTTCAGGGTTTAGGGTTCAGGGTTTGGGGCTTAGGGTTCGGTTTAGGGTTTAGGGCTTGGGGTTTAGGGTTTAGCGTGCAGGACCCGCAGTCGAACTGTAGCAAGCCAGCCTCACGTCCGGAAAAGCAATATAAGGCCTATCAGACCCAGCAACACGCATTTAAAGCCCCAAAAAACTTGTATAAACGTAGTACCTCCAAATAAGGGGCAACCCTGAACCCTAAACCTTCAGCCCTAAACTCAAAAATCTAAACCTTAAGCCTGAAACTCAAACAGATCTAAACTTTCCGCCCTATACCCCCAACCCTAAACCCTAAAGCACAAACCATAACCGTCAAACTCTCGGGTTGAATCTGAGGAATTGGGCTTTCAACTGGTCTAGGGCCTGAGGTTTAGTATAGGGGCCCTGCTAGTGAGAATAGGGTTTAGGGTTTAGAGTTTAGGGATCCTTCAAGGGTTCCTTTTTAAAGGGTTCTAGATTCTAGAAGGCTTGCTGTAAGACCCATGGATTGGGGATATTCCTTGCATCAACAGTCGCTCCCAATCCGCAGTTCGCTTGAACAAAAGTGGAATTCAGGCAGCTCCACCGCACTCTGCAGGGTCCTAAAAGGATCCCATAAGGATTCAAAAAGCGGTTTCCGGAGCCTGCGCCCTGGTGAGCTCTTGTTTGGGTTAAGGACTTTAGGGCTTTGAGGGTTTAAGGGTGCTTTCAGTGCAAGAACCCGAGGTTCAGCATTTAGGCTTTAGGGTTTAGGGAGGGTTAGCCAAACCTTAAAACCCGGTCCATGTTCCTTAGCCGTCTAAACCCTAACCCGAGAAACCCCTAAACACCCAAAAACCCGGCAAGGACCCTGAACAGGAAACCCTACCTGCGGCCCAAAACTTAAAACCCTCGCTTCCTAGGGAATCACATGTAGAAGCCATAATAAGGAATCCCAAAAAAAGTGAATTTTTTCGGCTCATGTAGGGGCCTTGATAATTAGAATAGGGTTTTGGGGCCCATTATACTAGAGTTATAACAAAGGAACCGCCAAAGTAGCACTGGTAATTACTTAATGGTAGCCCTTATAGACCCCTTTCAAACGAACCCTATTGTAATTATTTACAGTAGAAGCCAGAAAGTTGGAACATCATTGGCCTCATGCCCTTAAGGTAAAGTATAAGGGATCCTAGCACTAATCCTCCTAAAGCCATGTTCCAACTTTCTGGCTTCCACTATAGTGGTTTAGAGGTGTAGGGGTTTAGGGGTTTAGTGATTAGGGCTTAGGGGTTTAGGGGTTCAGGGTTTGGGGGATTATAGTTTCAAAGGAACCCTATTCTAATTATTTAGGCCCCTAGATCACAGCAAAGCAGCACCCAGCGAAGGCTCCCCGACTGACTCTGAGCACTGACAGTCTTGCCGCTTGGCCCCCACCGACTGTAGAGTTTAGGGTTTAGGGTTTAGGGTTAGAATTTAGGTTAGGGTTTAGGGTTTAGGGCTTAGGGTTTAGGGTTAGGATTTAGGGTTTAGGGTTTAGGGTATTACCTGAAGGGTTAAAGGTCTAGGGGTTTAGGGTTTAAGGGTGTGGGGTTTGGAAGAATTCCACCAATAATTCTGGCCTTGCACTTCAGGGCCTGGGGTTCAAGGACTGTCAAAGGGCTGCCGAGCCGAACAAACGACCGCAAACTTCTGCGGGGCCTCCGATCCGGGCCTCAGAAATGCTGCGGGGGACGTCCCGGATTGGGCCATTCTCACTGCCAGTATATGAAATATAACTATACAATATGATTCTTTGCGTTGCAGCGGATAGCAGAGTCAACAGACGCATCCCAACAATTTAGGTATAAATTAACCATAGCGTAACTGCAATAGAACTATAGTCAGGACCCTGACAGAGAATCCAATCCAGAGAACTATCAGCTCAACCCGAAACTCTTTTTAGAATCTGAAAGCGGTATGTGCTCAAATTCGAAACTCGCGGTTCATTAGTTTAGGATCTAAGGTTCTGGGTTTGAGGCGTCACGGCTCGAGGCAAGCTGATTGTGGTAGCTCTCCGATTTGGAGTTTCACCACTTTCCTTGCCATACCTGACCCCAGCGATCCTTCGCGACGAGTGCTGCTCCTGGGAGAGCGCACTCACGGCCTGTGGCCTTTCTTGCTGCCTGGTGACAGCTTTGGAGAGGGCGCTCCTCTCCCCCAAGGGCCTCGCCCCGCTGCTTTTCAATAAGCCGTGGCTTGCTGCCTTTGGTATTTGCTATTCTGCCCCTCGGGGTGTATGACTGCTCGGCGCATCTACACTCCTCTCCTGCCACTGGCCTTGGTTGGGTTTTTGCTGATATTCTGGGGAAGCTGCCAACCTGACAGGGCGCCGCCCGCGGAGCCCCGCGTGGCATCGCCGAGCCCGCAAACAGCGGGCACAGGCACGCCGTCGTCTTCATCGTGGACGCGGACAACCGGGAGATCGGGCCCTACTTCAGGCATAACACGGAAGCATGCCCCCGAAAAAGGGAGCCAACGATCAACCCTCCACCAAGGGTGGAGCTGGGAAGGGGAAGGATCGCACCGAGGCCCAGGTCACGCGTGTCGATTTTGGCCTGCCGTCCTCCATGGTCCAGACGTTGCAATCAATTTCGTCGAGGGCAACACAGGACCTTTGGGGACAAGGATCCTTTACGACAGATGGTGCAACAGTGGAACAGTTGGCACGGCGAACAGCCAACACCCTGGGCCGCCTTTCCAAAAGACTCAATGGCAACATGCGCGCCAAGAAGGACCTACAAGATGCGCTGACAGCCTGGGTCTCTATGCTCAGCCAACATTTGTTGGGCCTGACGCATCGAGTGGATGCCCTGTCTCGCAAGGTGGACGAGGACACAATTGCTGCAGCCGAGGAGCTCCGTCATGTCTCGGCAGCGCAACCGTCTGCAACCACCAACGAGCAGCTGGCGAGAGCAGAACAGTCCTTGGGTCCTGTCTGGACGGATCCGCAGGTGCAGGAGGTACATCGGCTCGCTGCTGCCCTCAAGGCGTTTGCTACTACGAACCCTTCATCGCTGGACATGCATCCTGGCCCTGGGGGCTCTGTGGCTCTTGTGCCACGTGGCACCCTTGGGGCCCCCCTGCAGCCGGCCACTGCTATGTCTGCAACTCTGATGCCACCGGTCCCGCTTGGCCCACCTGCAGCACATCCTGGTGGCTTTGGGAGCGGTGGATCGGAGGCCAGCTTCGGGACCCCAGAACGCTCGACAGGCGTCGGAGAGTCGGAGGCGCGCAGTGGCAGATGGCGCAAACGCAGTGGTGGCGGCGTCGAGCGGCCCTCCAAGAGCCCCCGGCCCGATCTGCCAGGGCCTCCATGGCCGCGGGAATCTACAGGCCGTACACCGGAGGCACCTCCGCGAGCTCCGGTCACTGTGGTGGCAGACGAAGCTCCTCCCTGGGGCGTTGGCTGCATCTGCTGGTCCATGGGTGGAGGCTTGGATGGCCATGCTCCGTTTCTGTGTCGACAGTGGCTCCGACATGGTGGGCGATGTGGCACAGTGCCCTCAGCAAGACGCCTGCCTGCCGCTCACTTTGGATGCACAAGCACAGGACGCGACTCTGCAGACTGCGGAGTCCACGTGGATGGCCCTGGTGAATGCAGTCAGCGACCCCACCCAGGCGGACCTTCAGGAGCTACATCGACTCCTGCAAACGGCCTTGCACTGCTTGCGGAAGTGCACGGACGTCTTGCCGCGGGTCCGGCAAGGACTTCTGGTTGCCAGCTTGCTGACCACAGGAGGCCTGCTGGATCCCTTCTCATTTGCACCCTCAACGGCCCAGGAATGGCTGTTCCCCAGCCTCTTGCTGGAGGCCGAGGTGCAATTGCGCGGCTTCGTCGCCCGGGATGCCTCACAGGACCCACGTGTTCAAGTCCTACTGCGCCTGCCTTCCCCGTTCCTTGGTGCAGCGCTGGCCGAGGAACTGGACAAAGAACTCGAGTGATACTGGACTATGTTTCTTCGAGTCTGCTCTGCTGCAACGGCGTTGTCGCACTCAGCCCAGCTGTCAGTGCTCAAGAAGGCGGCGTTAAATCGCCTCTTTCTTTGACCACTCTCAGCCTTTTCCTAGGGCGGTGCCTCATCTTGTGCATAGCTCTGTACAGAGTAGCCGTCGTCAGTGAGCGTTTCCTGGCCACATACGGACCTCAGCTCTCGTGGCGCCGCTCGTGGCAGCTTAGCTGTACCCTGTCAGCGACAGCTTGGTGGGTGGCAGCTCTCTTTGGGCCGCCTACCTCCATGTTTGCCTGCGCTTGCATCAGTGAACTTTTGGCCTTCCTCCCTGGTCTTGCCCTGGACTTGGGCTCTACGCGCCTTGGCCATCTTTGCACTTGTGCTTGTCCTGGCGGCTTCGCTTCCCGGTGCCGTTCCCTCCTCCACCGGCCCTGCATGTGGCGGAAACCCCTTTGGTTGTCCTTCGTGACCCGCTGGGTTACCCTTTGTCTTTCTGGGGTCGAGGATACTTGGTCGTGCACCCGGAATGGGACTCCGTGCCGTCGTGTTGGCAGCAGTCGTTGCAAAAGCCGATCGGGTGCTCGTGTATCTGGCTGCCGTCGTCTGGGAACGGCCCTTTTCCTCGGCTACCTCTCGGTTGTGGATGGCTCGACTTTGCACCTTGGTGTTCTCCTCGCAGCCTCCTGCTCGCGGTTTCCGGAGGCGGTGCAACTGCATGCACATGGGTTTCATGAAGGACGTCCCGTTCTCAGCACAGGTCCTGTCTTGCCCACTCCCTCTGTGGATGCTATGTGTGAGGTTTATCCAGTCGGCCGGACTGGTAATCTTCTTCTTCCCCGCACGGACCGCAACCGCCGACACTTGGCTGTCTTCGTCGGCACTCCTCCGGGAGCGCCTGTTCTCGAGCCTTGCCCCGTCCCGTTCCTTGTGGATGAATGGCTCCATGGTCCTCTCCTGCACGCTCGGTTGTCCGCCTCCCTTGGTTTCATGGCGAACACCTTCTCGGTTTGCCCAATTCGTGGGGTACTGCCCGGGCTCCCAGGTGAGCAGCTCCTGTTGTCCCCTGTTACCTGCACCTGGCGCCAGGTGTGGCTCCCGGTCGACCTCAGGCAGCTTGGAGGCCGTGTTTGCATGCTGCTCTGCTCTCGCGACTCCACTTGCAGGTCTATTGCTCAGCTTGCCATGACAGCCCAGGAGGTTCGTGCTGACCTGGATCGCCTTCTTGCGCGATGTCAATGGGGGTGGCTCACGCTAACTTCCCAGCCTCTTTTTCTGCAAGATGTTGACACTTTGCAGTTTCAGATTGGGCCAGCGCCGGAGTCCCTGCAAGGCCCTGTTGGAGCCTCCCTTGACCCTCCCATTTCTCTTTTCTCGGCTATGCAGGTCAGCCTCCCCACCTATCCTACAGGCCCCGAGGTTTTCCACGGCCGCTCTCACAACCAGGCAGTGCTAATAACCCCCAATGGCCTTGTATATGTTGAAGCTCCGGTCTTCGCCGACGCGGCCACTTTTCGTCGCATCGTCGCTACGCAGGCCTCTCCCCATGCCACTGGGGGGACCATGCGCATCTGGCAGCCGCTGCCTTCCCTCCCTTTAGTCCAGTTTCTGGAAGTCCACTGCATAGGGGATGAGGTACCGTGCATCCTGGACTTTCGTCCAGTTGGCTGGCGTCTTACCACTGTGTGTGTGGTACCGCCGGTCACTGCCGTCGCCGCCATCGGTGCTGCCTCCAGGAGAGAGCGCAATTGCATTCCGTTGGAATGGGTTGAGCAATGCTCTAGAGGGGGTTTCGGGTTGCTACATCGGGAGCTAGTGGTTTTGCCTGATCAGGTCCTCACCGGCAACTTCCCTCTAGTCTTAATGTTCTTCCCACATGTCTTCCGACAGGACTCCTCGTCCTCCTCTGAGGAACAGGTAGGGGGCTGGGACGAACCTGATGCCTCTGGTGCTACCGATACTGTCATTTCGATGCAGCACACTTTGCTGCCGTCACCAGCTAGATCTCAAACAGCCACAGCCATGCCGGCTTGTACCGGGATCTCCCCGGCTGCCTTTCTTGACCCGCCTGCAGCCCTCCTAGAAACACCTGCGCCTCAGGCTGATGCGACGCCTGGGTCTGCCTTTGATGACGACCCGGCGCCTTCCCACGCGCGACCTCGGCGCCTCTGCTTCTCCAGCCTCCTTCTTGTCTTGGCTCATGGCGGAGCTCTTAGCATGCCGTGCTGCGCCCGCAGCTACATCCTCATAGCACTGCTTGGTTTTGTGCCCTCCTGCACCGTTCACCTGCACAGCGAACCAGCTTCTCCGCGTGAGGTTGTCGTCTCTGCTGCCAGAGCTACGGATAGAAGGGTTGCAGCGCCAGCCAGTATTCACGCTTCTCTCCAAGCTGTTTGGCTTCAGGAAGGGGACTTCGGCGAAGGTCCCTTGTGGAAGTCACTTCCGGTGCAAGAGAGGGGCTATCTGATTACCTGTCGGCTGTGGTCGCCGGGCACGTCTGTCAGGCTTGAATTCTCCGGGTTGGGCTCCGCCCGTGAGGCTGCTGCCGAGATTTACCGCCAGGCCATTCGTTTGGGGCGCCCCCAGGTTGTTGCTGCGTCTGCAGGCCCCACCAGTGACGCTATTAATTTAGTCACTCTCCCTCAGCACCCACGGATGCTGACAGTGTTATTTGATGCTGGCTCTCAGGTTGTCTGTGCGGAGTTACCGTCTGATTACACTGCCGCTCAGGTTTTGCGCATTGCGCAACAGGCTGCCGAGGCGGAAGAGGTGCAGATCTTGAAGGGCTTTGCTCATCGCCTCCGACACGGCGATGTTGTCCGGATCGCGGCTGGTGCCACAGCTCGCACACTGGATGTGTCAGCCTTTGTTCTCCCTTCCGACTCTGAGACGGCATCCCGCTGGTTACAGACTTCTCGGCTGGTCTCCATCCTTCACCCTAGCGACGGAGTACTCACCTTTGAGGTCCCGCGCTCGGCCGATCTGACCACCCCGTTACTTCGGGCCCTGCTTGGCACCAGTATCCCTGGGAAGCATGTTTTCCTTGAAGTGCCAGGGGCCGACGCCCTGCCCCACTCCACCTTTGCTGCGGTGCGCCCGGGTCAGGACTGTATCATTTACAGGCTCACCGATGTCCACGACCCCTCCGCGGTGGGGCTTTTCATGGCCTTCGCGGGTGTGTTTTCGTCCTTCCCAGTGTTTCTCGAGAGTCTCCTCCGGAATTCAGGGCCTGCAGCCCTTCTACTGCGGACGGTCCAGCCTTTTGGGCTGTCAGTGCTGTCTTGGGAGTCTTCCCCCTTTCCAGGACGGGAGGACTGCCATTTCTGGGTAGTGCACGCCCAAGCCGACTTCGGGCGTGCACGACGACACTCGATACATTTGCACTGGCAACCCCCCTTAATACGGCAATCCCCGGACTTCCTCCCTATGCCCCGCATTAAGACTGCCCATAGTGTTGGGGTCCAGACTAGTGCCCCCTTTCTGGTTACTAATACCCAAACCTCCATCCTCCAAGCACCCCCGTCTGCATGTAGCGTCGGGGTCGTTCCAGATTCGGCCACCGACCTTGTCAGTCTCTGGTGCGACGCGTGGCACGTCAAGTGCTTGATAACTTGCATCCCGGGCTTCACCGCATGGGCCCTTCGAGAGGGCAGCAGCCTCCTGGGTATGTGCACTCCGGCCCCTTCGTGGGAAGCTGTTGCCACCGCTCTTGATATCTCGCTGTGGGAGCTTCCGCACACGTTCCTCTCGGATAACCAGCGTGTCTGGCCGTATCCAAGTGAGCTCTCCGCCGTTGCGACTCGATGCGTCAGCGTCGGCTACGACTCGCATGAAGTAGTTGCCCAACTCTGGAAACAGTGTCAACACAGCAGCCCGAGCCCATCGCCCACCCCCCCGAGCTTGGCGTCGGCGGCACTGTGTCTCGCCGGGCTGCGCAGCACTAGGGTTGGGTGCCTAATGGTTGTTTTAGCTTCGGTTGTTAATGCGGTGCAACTCTCTCTCCCGTCCACTGCCCTGCAGCCTAGGACCTTGCCGGATGGCTGCCTACAGCTGCGCAGGGACTTCGCCAGGCCTTGCACGATGTCGTGGACGCATGAGCTGAGCCGACAGACCTATGGCTTCGCGGTAGCCTCCCCACATCTTGGGGCCTACATCGCTCGCACTTGCCCTTCCTCCGAGGTCCAAATGCACCTCTGGCTTCCCGGACAAGGCCCTATTCATCTGCGTGTGGCGGTGCAGCACCTAGGTGCCCACTTAGGAGCCTACTTAGGGGGTTTCTTGCCGGCCTGCGAATACGGTCTCCACGTCGCCTTCGACTCTAACCCTCAGGTTCTTGATCTTATCATCGCCCCTCCTGGTGCAGCCGCGTGGTGGATTGTGAAAGATACGATTGGGTGCGAACTGTTGCGACCCGTGGTACAACACTACGTCTCGCATTGCTCCTTTTTCTTCTGTGCCATCGAGCCTGACGGTGCCGTCTACAGCGTGGAGCCATCAGCAGAAGTGAGGTTCATGACCCCAAGCCCGCATGGAGCCCGAGCCCTTGTTGCTAAGGTCCTTCCTGGTCTCGTGGGTAGGGTGGTTGACGGGGTCCTTCAGGTTGTAGCCGCCAAGGCGGGCTCAATGTCGCTTGCGGGAGGCTTGGCTCTTCTCTTGCTCAGTGGCCAAGCCGCCTCGATGCAAACCGTTCCGGAGCTGCCCCTGGTACCAGCCGTTGCGCCGCCCGCTCTGCCTGCGATCACGCGCATCTGGACCCTCAATGTCCGCCAGCCTGTGGATCTACCATGGCGGGCCGAAGGTTACCCCACCAGGTGGTTGCGTGATCTCATGCGCCGTTTGCACAGCATCGATGATCCCGGCGAGTTTCGGTCCACGTGTGGCCCCCGGGACAGCGGCGTCCAGCATGTTCTGTTTGTACCATTAGTGCCCCCCACTGTGCCGCGCAATCGCTTTTGGCTCTTGCACTGGGGTGAGGCGGCCGTCGTTGCCTTTGGTCACACCCCCTTCAGTTGGGATGTCGTCTCGGCACATTTGCGCACGCTCTTTCCGGGGGGCCAAGTCCCCGACCGTTGCCCAGCCATCGCCTACGCCGGTGCCTTTTATCCCCCGGGTGCTGCTTTGCCAGACCTCCCGTCTGGGGCAATTATCCAGCTTCTAACCGGAGCTCTGGCTCGTGTCCCCAGTGAAGACGACCCTTGGCATCCTGAACCTTATGTTGTGGACGGCCCGTGGTTCCAACATGTCCCCAGCAAGGGACCTGCACTCGAGCCCGCAATTCTCATTGATGCTGGGGGCAGCAGGCGGCCCGACGGCTACGTGCCAACTACATTGGTTGACCAGGGCACTCAAACCAATCTCGGGCAACGGTACCGGTCTCGATCATGCCACAGTTTCTAGAGTGCACTCTCTGGCCCAAGAACTCACCTTCCACACCTCCAGGCTATGGGCTGGCCTTGCCGAGCCCGACGCAGAGCCTGCTGACTGCGCCGGGCCAGTCTCTCGGCCCCCCGAGATCACTGCTGCTGCTGCGGCCTTGCCACCCGACGTCGACCTATTGGATATGGGCAGCCCCTCCGGTTGCCAGCGGGGAGCAGCGAGCTCCTGGGCCCTCTTGGTGCTTCTGGGGACGCTTGGTCACCCCCGCCTTGGCCTGCTCGGGGGTCAAAAATCCTCCCGGGGTCGGCTAGCTCCGATGAAGAGCCTGCCCCTAATACCTCTAACTCCGACATGGTCGCGGTGAATATGTCGTCTGCTAGCTCTGCTCCGACACCATTCTCTCAACCTGCAGGGCCACCACCTCCTGATCCTGTCAACGCTCCCTTTCAGCCCCGGCTCCTCTTTCTGCGCGCGGCCCGTCCACTGGAGGACTATGCTTTGGGCCTGTGGCCCTCTCCTGTTGACCGGGAGCCGGCGGCCGATGAGGACGCCGTCCGCAGAGTTCAATCCGGTCTCCTGAACCGCCAGCGGGGCTTGCGCACTTTTGCAGCGGCTATTCCGCTAGGCACACCCTTCTGCATTCATAACCCCTTCACGGCTAGGCCTCAATGTGAGATGGTCGAGTACGCGGCCGGCCCTGCGATCAATCCACTCACGCTCTTTGCCAGCCATGCCAGACATCGCGGGTGGGCTGGTCTTGTTCTCCTTCAGCCTCAGCTAGATTCCTCCGCGGTGCACCTTATCGGATGCCCCGTTGCTCCGGGAAATGCAGCGGTAGGGATAGTTTTTGATGACCGCCTCATTCCTTGCTGCCTGCCAAATTGCGTCCCTGTTACCGCCCTCGGGGCGCTTGTGCTGGAAGGCCACGCTTGTAACCTTAACCCCCCGGAGTTCCAAGAAGGCTCTGCTGTGGTCCAATTCCGCAATGGCGACTGCTTGGCTGCCCGCCGCTGCACTGCTCGCACGGCTGCGAGCCATCTTCTTCCTGACACTGCGACTGCTTCCCACCCTTCTGCCACGGCTGCAGCAGGCGAGGCCGACACCGCGGCTTCTTCCGCTTGCTGGCCTCGGGTTAACCTTTGGTGGGGTCTTTTAGGTTTCGGGCTACAGGGTCGAGGCGCCTCTCCTCTCTTCACCTTCGGTCTCTTCTTTGGAGCCGCCCTGGTATCGGGCATGCATCGCCCAGGAGGGTTCCCATGGGGTGTTGACCCGGCCAACCGTGACTTCTCAGGCATCACGGCCGACGATCCTGTTTACGTCGTCCTGCATAGCCCTTTCCAAGGAGTCTTTCCCCCCTATACTGCCTCGCAAGAGACCCGGCACTCACAAGTTTGGGCGCAGTTCCTTAACGACGATCCGGGTTGGGCTTCAGAGTACTTCCCGGTCTGGCCAGGACCTGCTTTCAACGAGCTGTCGATCGTTCCGGTTGGACAGGATGCAGCGCTTGTCACCATCATGTTGGTGTGGCGTGGCCACCACAGGGCCACCCTGGCGCCACGGACCATGACGGTGGACTGGCTCACGGCCTTCATTGCCCGTCACATCAATCACCCGGTTGGCGGCATCTCACTTCCCCATGGCCTTGCTGTTAGCGAACTTTTTGATGTCCCACCAGCGGCTTTCCGCTTCCGCAATGGTGACGTGGTCCATGTCCATGATCCACCCGAGGATCCTTCCGAACCACTGGAGTTTGTCGAGCCGTGGCACCTTCAGGACGGACTTGCGGCACATCACGCTCCGTGGGCCGTCGGATTTCAGCTCATGTTCGGCATATCTGTACATCTACTTCGACCCGAGCGGCCACCGCTCCTGGCCTCCATTGCTGCCGGCGAAGCCTGGTGTCCAGAGACTTTCACTTTTTCAGGCACGTTCCAAAACCACTTCCCCGGCATGTGGACGCCGGTCCAATGGACCCGCGCCCGCGCCCTGCAGCTGATCGAGGTTAATGGGGTTGCAGCTAAGGTCAACATCGTCGCTGCCACTCCGGAAGGCCGGTTATGTCGTTCAGTTGACCGCATCACCTCTCGTGACCATATTGCCTCCCAGCTTAACTTTCTCCCCGCCACCATTTGTGTGGGAGGAGTGCCATCATATGCCATCGACCAAGCGTGTGAGCTTCGGAACGGCGATGTAATTTTTGGTCACTTTGCTCGCAGCACCTGCTTTGGCCGGTCGCACTTTTGGGGTCTTGCACTTGCCAGTCTCCTGTCCAGACGATCCCACCCTGGTGCTCTTGCCGTCCTTCTTTTTGGTGCTCTGGGGTTGCGAGCCCCCTCCCTGCCGGCAGCCCTCGGGCCTTATCTCTTGGCCGCCTCTATGTGCCTGCCTGCGGCCCATGCCATGCACATGCAGGCCTCTGCCTCTTCAGCCCCGATTCCTGTTGCCGCTCCCCCCCGCCTCACTGTCACAGTTGCCAATCCCTTTGCCTCGTGGGCCCGGGCGGAAGTGGACCCTCAGCACCTGTTCGATGCCGTCATCGCTGATGCGCACCACACTCTCACATCATGGCATAAGGGTTTTGCAGCTACTGGGCTTGTCCTTGATGGAGCCCAAGTCGTGGTGCCGCTCCCAGGAAGTCGCCTGGTCTGCATCCTTGTTGCGGGTCTAGGGCAGTTACTATGCGTTGTTCTGCCCGCTTTTCTTACCCCCAGAGACCTGATGCAGGCGATCCAGATGCGCCTTGGTCGCCGCGTTTGTGTTAGCCTGCCCCCTGGTTTGGCAGCAGCCGCTCGGTCCGCCCGCCCGGTTCTTGCACTCCGGTCAGGGGATGTTGTTGCCGTCCACCCCCCTCAGCTTGATCCCCTCGCTGGTCCACGTGAGCCGCCTGTTTTTCTCACATGGGGCGCTGCCCATACGGCCGCGGCGTGGCACTCCGACTTCGTTGTGGCCCACGCCTCTTGCGTTCTCCTGTGGTCCCCCTGCCGCCCTGCGCGAATTGCTCTCCTTGGTCATCAGGCCAGATGGGATGCGGCCGCGGCCACCGTGCAACGCCACGAGCACGAGCTCGGCTCTCACCGTTGGGCCCCCTGCCACGGCCATCTTGGGGCCCCTCCTTGGCTTGTGGAACAGTCCGCCGCCGAGGGGAGAGCAAATATCATTCAATCTCGTGACTCTACTCGTTGTATTGAAATAGCACGGGATGCCGCCCATGATCTTTATATCGATGGGTTTTCGCTCCGGCCCGCCACTAGTCGTGCCTGCTCTGTTGCCAATGTGCGTGATGGCGACTGGTGGGTGCTTTCAGCTGCCACCGGCCTGTTCGCCCGGCGGGGTTCCTTGTATGTTCAGCTCGCCTGGTTTGTTTACAGCTTTGCCACCCAAGGCTGGGCTGTGTCTTCCGGTGCCTCGAGCGGTTGTCCAAGCGTCGACTCTTCCGAGGCTCGCACCATCCGCACGAGGCGGCGCCCGAGCCGCAGCCGATCCCCGGCCTCGCCATGGCCCGGCCGATTCTTCCCGCCCAGGGTCGACTTCAATGACGGCGAGCCCTTTGTCATTCAAGGTGGCTGGCAACCGGACTCGCCCGATTGCCCTCTTGCGCGCTGCTTCCCTGGGCCGCGCCCGCAAACGGCCAGGGTGCTTTGCCCCCTTCGAGGCTGGAGTGAGGTGTTCTTTGCCGACCTTACTGCTACGTGGAAGGCTATAGAACTCGTTGGATCTCGGCACTGCGGAAGCTGGGCACGCAAGTTTTTCCCTGTACGGTCGGTCCTACCGCTCTCTCAAATCACAGTTGCACCTGTCGCGCCCTACGGGCTGGCTACTGTGGTCTTTCATTTGGAGAGCTGCTCCGCTGTTGCTCTCGCACCGGTTGACTCGGGCCTTGCTGATATTCACCGCCTGGCCACTCGGGTGTTCCCGCATACCCGTTTCTGGCGGGTGGTCGCCCCTCCGGTGCTGAGCGCCGCCAACCCTCACACTCATGTACGGTTGCGTAATGGGGATGCTTTTAGTCTAGTGCCAGAGAACTCCCAGCCGGAAGCCACTAGATTTCCCCTCCTCCAATACACTTCCCTGGAGAGGGCTAGGCAAGTCGCTAGTTGGTCCCTTCCCTTCCGGTTTGATGTTGGGGGTTCGGTTTTTCTTTGGTACACTAATCGCAAAGTCGGCCATTGCCTTCGCATCCGCGATGCTGGCTATTGGAATCCGGATGACCGGATGGACCCACCTTCTGGAGCCTTAATGGCGAGGCGCTTTCGGGATCTTGGGTACCGGTCCTCATCGGTGACCTCTCCAGCCTCCATCTTATGCATCGGACCTCGATTGGCAAGGCGCATGTGCTTTTCCTGTTTCCCCCTGACCTGGAGCCAGTGGGAAGACTCCTTGCCGGCTGCAACGTTTTCCGCACCCCGCCGGGGTGGCGTCTCCTACCAGCCCTGCAATGCGTTCGTGCCGACAGCTCGCTTCGAGATGGCGATGTTCTGGTGCTCAACCCTACAGCCGACCTTGTCTGGGATCCTTTAGGGCCACCCCCATTAGTTCCTGCTGAACCGGAACCAGGGACACCTCCTGCCGCATCTCCGGCTGCTGCTCGTCCTGCTTTTTGGGCGCCTTTGATTGCGCTTCTCGCCCATTGCCCTAGATGGACGGTGCTCGCTCTTTCTCTGCACATGGGTTTGAGTATGGTCCCGGTTGCCGAGGTCCCGGAGCAACCCATCCGGGCTGGCCTCTACCCCTGGCGTATGTCGCCGAGAGAAGCGGATCTGGTTAATGTGTCCTCCGGCACCGAGCTCGATATCGTCTATCTTAGCCCCTTTACGGGGCCGCAGGAAGCTGGCCGCCTCCCAGCCGCAGCCCCCATCTCCGAACTCAGTGCTTTGACCCGGGCCTGTGATCCGGTATGGGGTGCCGACGTGGTACCTGTGTGGCCGACTGCGGCCACCCCGGCCCTGTTGGTGGTGCCGCGGCCACTTACCCCTGACCTTGTCTGCCTGGCTGTCACTTCCTTGGATCGGCACTTTTCGATT